TAAAATCTCGAACATAATAAAGCTTGTTGATAAAAAGTTAATTTACTGGAAATCAATCGAATAAAATAGAATGCGTCGGCTAAAAAAATTCAAGAGTGGCTTTTGGAAAATATCGCATCTATTGAGAGCGTTGAAAATAGCTAAAACACACTCTAGAGGGCCAGCCATTCAACCGCAAAGTCGAAATTCATGAATACGGTTGCAAAACAGGGTAAATCCCTTCTTGGGATCAGACAAACAGTTTGATTGACTGCGTTTTTTCAATTACTGAAAATATATCGTGAGCATTACGCACTATTAATGTTAATATACTCAAAAGCCACGAAAAGACTTGAAATTATAACTAGCTATTCTGTAAAATTATTACATTCAACAAAAAAACTTTATTGTGCTGATGGGTTGCGTAAGCAAATTAAATTTCGAAGAAAACCATTTGTATTACGTCTACAAAGGGTTGAATGTGAATGAAATACCTTTTGGAAACTTGTTTTCTGCTCGCCGTTGCTTGGTGCATTCTCAGCATATGCCTGTGTTATGACTAGGGTGACGAAAAGAAGTACTATGAAACCCATGGCTCGGTTGTGTCCTGGTGCCCCCCTCTTCTGTCAGAGCTGTGTGCGTTTGGCAGCAGACGTGGACGAGACGTTGGGAAATTGCACTAAGATCACTTTGAAAGGAGTCGTGAAAAACCGCGAAATTAGCATGCAATTGTGTCCATGAAGGTCAAGGAAGCATTGTTACTTTCATTGTTTCTTCAAAATACACCTTTCTTTTTGCAGATTCGTAAGAAAATGTACCTTCACTTTATTTAGTCAATATAAACAAATACATTTTGCAAAATAGATGAAATTCCTGTGCATCCTTTGAACTTTGATTGCATATTTTGCTCAAATATTTGCTTATTAGTTCTACAGGCTACCCCCGGGCAATGTCTTTTTACTTAAAATATGTCGTAAGATAGCTTAAGAAAACAAAGGTGCCTAAAGCAAGTTGTAATGCCTTTTTGTTTTCACTGAATAAAAATCCGTTAATTTGTGCTGAACCAGGTAATAAATAACGACCACAATTTTATTAGCGCATGTAGACGTGAACTCGCATTTTTTTAACTTTAGTTGATAATCGTTTCAGCACAGAATTTGAAAGCTAGAGAAAATATCTTTCTCTTTTAAATAAAGGCTTTCATCCAACGATGAACAGTTGTTACAACTGAAACTACTTTTAAACCAAAGGTAAAAAAGAATGGATTATTGAAACGAAGACAAAGCTCGTTTATGCGCTGTGGAAAGACACTGCTGTTTTTTGTGTGCATTCGACGCTGTGCCTCGTCTAACAAATTGCTGCAGCTGTAAGTGCAGTGAGCTATCATTCATTAAAGGTGAGTGTTCTTATGAAAGGACATACAAATGTAATAATGCTAGTTTTAACATCGTCTTTTTCGGTATTTTAATTATTCTAACAATCTTTGCACATTCGATTGTTCATGATTCGTTTTGTAGGCTAATTGCACCTTTAGATTCATTAGTTATATTTTTCAGGAATTTTTGATATCTTTATTCGGTTTATGCAAATAGTCTTGGGAGCAATATCTTTTGTATTCATTATCAATATGTAAATACAGTATTCTCTCCAATTAGCGGACACCGTCGGGGCCAGAGCAAGGTGTCCGCTAATTGGAAATGTCCGCCTTTTGGAAAGTTTTGCAATACAAACCCCAAAGTTGAAAATAGACCCTAGTCTTGTATTTAAAAGGTGTAATCAGTGGTGGCGCCAGAGGAGGGCTGAGGGGCTACAGCTCCTCCGTCGGAAGCACCTAGCCCCCCCCTTTTCGGAGAAAATTTTAGGTTATTGTCGAACCAAATTGACATAATAACGTACGAAAATTGCAGATTTTAGTCATTTTAGCCCCCCCTCCCTATCGGAAGCTCCAACCCCTCTGTCGGAAGACTTCTGGCGCCACCTCTGGGTGTAGTCTTGGTAATTAGTGGCTATCGGGTTGAACTTAGACACTAAAAAAGGCAAAAATAACCAAATTGAGCGTAACACAACACTTTCATGGACAAAAAGCTAGTAAACTGGGCTGTAATGAAACTCGAAGCTGTAAAAAGCTAACTAGATTGTCAAGTGTCAAAGTGTTTGAAAGAAATATTTGAACAAATATTCATTCGTCTCATTTTTCGCTGGCTCCTAAATTTTTTGTACTGTCCGCTAATTTGAAAGAAAAAAAGCCAAATTGATTTTTTGTGCATACAATATTGTTCGTGAATTTTTAGTAAGTTTTTTTTATAAGACTTTGACCAGAAAACGACCGGGGAAATAATTTGCCCGCTAATCAGAGGTGTCCGCCTTTTAGAGTATCCGTTAAATGGAGAGAATACTGTACGCAACTATAATAATGGAAGCATTTCATTTTCAATTCAACTTTAACTACAAATACAAATCTCACTATTACAAGGTAATTTGCAATTGGCTAGCCTGGTTTTACAAGAAAAAAACTATAACAATCGTAAGGTAAAAGGAAAAACTGAGAAAAATAAAATAAAATAAAACAACTAAAGTTAAAAAGGATGTAGTTCCGGATTTGTCCATTGCTTATTTTTGCAACAAAAAATGTAGTACGTAGTACGGATGGCAATGTTGGAAAGTTTAGAAATGAGATACTGTTTTTGTTGCTGATCGATGGAGAGAGAGTCTCACATTTTGAAAAATGAGTTGCAGGAATTGCCGAAGATGCCAAGAGAGCTCATAGAAAGATTAACAAAGGAGACACATTTGAACTGCCGCTGTAAACCAGATAAAAGAGGAGCATACTTGCTTTGTTTTCTTGTAGCATTTGTCTCAAGATTGGATTCGAAGCCAACAGTTAGCTCTAAAATGTAGAGGTAATTGTTGTTAGTCCTCAAAAGAAGATCAGGGCGAAGGTTTTCTCCAGTTATGATCGATGGTGAAACAACGTGAAGAAAACAGAGAGAGGGTTTCTGGCAGAAAACAGAAAGAACAGTCAGAGGTCTGGCTCAAGTTCCATTTTTTCAGGTTTTTCTGTGTGGCAAGGGTATTGTTCAGGTACCTTATGGTGAAATTGAAAATATTCTGAGGCATGCTATTTGTGGAAGATTCTGGTTAAAGAGATGTGATAATAAAGATCCTTGGGAGATTAGGATGTTTTGCAGACGATTTTTATGCTCAAGCTGGACAGCCTTTAATGATTCTTTGGTGTTCCTATATATATCATGTTGTATATTTGTGCTACTGCTGGTATTTTCCCTAAAGAGCGAATGTTATCGTTTGGTGAAGATTTCAATGCGTTGCATAAAACGGTTTGACACTGTAGAAATTTGGTGGATGGTAAAGTTAGGCTGAGTCTAAACTGGCTTTTAGAAAGAATAATGCTACTCAAGGTAGCACTTATTGGGAGGTCGAGCCACTGGCGGATGTATTTGGATACGAGGTTGTCATGATTCTCGACAACCCACGTCTTTGAAAGATCCGCTACAGTAAGGTTCCAGGAGATTTTAGAAAGAACAAAGTTGTGTTAAAGACGCAGCTTATTTTTTGCATGAAGATGCTGGGAATCGATTTGTTTAAGCATGTTGGACAGTGATGATAAAAGGTCAGATTTATGTTCTTGGTTTGTCATTTCAAAGTCAAAATGACAACTGAGGTACTTGAAAGAGTTTCCATTCGAGACAGATGGGATAGATTTGTTGTTTATGAAAACCTTAGGTTGATACTAAAGAGAACGTGTGGAAAATTTCTTTATCCCAAAAGTGATGCATTTATCGACACGTATGATCATGTTAGCCCATTGGCACCAGCGAGTGAAACGACTCAGTAGAAGTTGGTTTTCTTTCTCATTGCTGGTGATAACGGCAGCATCGTCTGCGAATTTATACCAATAGACTGGTTGAAACATACGGTCGTTCTGATCATGTAGGGAAAAACCTAACTGTTTGTAATTTTTAGCTCTTATCTATTTTATAAAAGTATTGAAACATAGATTAAATAGTAGCGGACTGAGGCAGTCGCCTTGAAGCACACCACGACGGACTGGATTGGCAGGAGTATTATAGTGGCTTGTGATGATAGAGGATTTAAAATTGGTGTAAAGGCTAGAGATAAGAAGCTGTATGTTGTCAGGGATATGATGATAAGACAGTATAGTGGGTATCAAATTATGATGTACTTCGCCAAAGGCATTTTTGAGATCAAGAAGAGTGACAACCAGCGAGCGCTGTTTTGTACGTGCTTTGTCGATAATGTGAGCCATCATTGAAGTATGTTTAAGAGTGCCAGAAATGTTAGACGTGAAGCCTTTTTGAATTTGATATTCAATATAGCCATTCATTGTAAGAAAATCAAACATAAAAACAAAAATAATAATAATAATAATAATAATAATAATAATAATAATAATAATAATAATAAATGTCCTGGGTATGACGTAAAACTGCACCCGGTTGTGGAGTTTCAACGTGGGAGAATGAGGTTACCCTTTGCCGCAACTACCTCCAGGTCACCCTTGGGCAAGGTGTACTACCTGTTAGCTCTCCCCGAGACCATGAAATGCCGGGTTGACATCCGGCGGGGCTAGTCTGTCTCATGGGTAAGGGGGACTCTTTAGCCTTGGTCGGCAACCCCCCTAGTGATGGTGTCACAAAAAAAATACCAGTTGGGAACTTGCTACAAAGAACGACCTCTTTTATGAGTGAGATGAATCAAAACAGTGATTTAGATAACAGCGTAAAGGAGACTGGAACTGATGGTGAAGGTCTCTCGCTCGGCAGGTGTCCCATGGAGGAGCAGCGTGGGCCCGGTCGTCATCCTACTACTACCAACTGGATGGTCGAAAAGTATGAATGTAGCAGTAATGGAGTGCTATTTTTTGAGTAAGCCTGTAAATGATGACGGAAAACCAGTGAGAGGCTATAGACGCAGAATGCATAACATTTGGAGAGAGAGACAGCTTCAATCTGACTGAACAGAGATTATGTGACCAAGCTCGCATGATTAGAAAGAACGGTTGGCTGACTCATGTGGAATTGGAAGAAATAAAAAGAAGAGTTACAACAGAAGAGGAAGGGGTGATAGATGATAGTAGCGTCGGAGAGGAGACTGTAATTAATGAGATACCAGTGACTGAGCCTGAAATAGAACCTGTGGTAACTTTCCTGGAGGGAAGTGAGAGAAGCGAAGCGAATACAAAAATGATAGAAGAAATTATTGAAATCATGAAAGAAGGGAACATAAGTCAATCACGAAGTCTGAAAAAAGCAGACAGAAAATCTGTGAATGAGGCTGTTAAGGAGGTAAACGACGCCTTGATAAGCATCAGAACGGAAAACATAACTGACACAAACAAACTGATCAGTGCTGTTGCATTGTATGTTGCGAGGAAACTAGGCATAGGGAAACCAAAGATAGAAAATAAGACAAAAGAACCATGGTGGAAAAGAAGAATAAGCGAATCTATTAATGAACTTAGAAAGCACATTAACATACTTGAGCGCGAAAAGAGAGGTGAAGTATCGAAGAAAGGGAAATACCATGAACTGTCAAAAAAGTATAACATCACGAGAAAAGGAATCTCTACTGTAATTGAAGAGTTGAAACAGAGAATGCAAGCCAAGGCTTTCAAACTAAGAAGGTACGAGCAAAGGACGCGACAATATCAAATTAATCGAATGTTTCAATATGACCAAAAGAAGGTATATCAACAACTACAGGGTAAAGACAAAAAAAAGAATACAACACCAGATGCAGATGAAAGTAGAAAATTTTGGTCGAACATATGGGACAACGAAACACAGCACAATAAAAAGGCTAAGTGGTTAGAGGAGTTAGAAAACAACAAACCTAATCTATCACAAAATGACATTGAAATAACAACTAGAATGGTAAATCAGCAAGCCAAGAAGATACCTAACTGGAAAGCTCCTGGCCCTGATGGAGTCCAGGGGTTTTGGATAAAGAAACTTACATCTCTACACGAAAGAATTGCTGCCCAACTCAATGATTTGATAAATGATGAAATAGAAATACCCTCGTGGATGACCACCGGCAGAACTGTGCTATGTCAAAAGGATCCAAAAAATGGCAATGCAGTGGATAACTATAGACCCATATCCTGCTTGCCATTAATGTGGAAGCTGTTGACAGGAATCATCTCTGGAAATGTCTACACGTTCTTGGATGAGAATGAGA